AGTTTTTTTCAGAATATGATCATGGTCTTTCCTTGAGAATAGCCTCGTATTTCAGTTATAGTCCTTAGCAGTCTCTTCACTTTAACTTCTTTTAAAGTCTGTGGCTCATGGGATAAAACAACTAAAGCTTTGAAAAAAAATCACAGACCTTCAAGAGGGATGAAGTGCTTGCTGAGCTCCACTTAGTTTTGTTGTCATTAATCCTGCAACTGCTTTAAGATAGACAGACTTTATGAGTCAGTCCTCTGTGTAGCTGGGATGTATGCCTGTGTGTTCATGCCTCACTGCATGTTATTTATAGCCCTCAGACCTGCTTGTCTCATTTTTCCGGTGAGCTGTTTCCAGCACTGGGGATTGGGGGTCAAGTCAAAAGGCTGATTTCTGTCAATAAACATCCAGTGAGTATTTAGTGGGAAATATCATGAAGAACACTTTGGGAAATATAAGATACAGTAGGCTCAGTCTTTGCCCTCAAAGACCACATACCGGTATGTGGCAGGTGAGCTATGAATAGACGTCAGTGAGACAGGAGGTGCCAGGAGCAGGAGGCAGTGCCATGGAACTGATATAAACAGGGCTTTGGGCAAGTTGGGTGAGATCATTTCTGGCTGAGGTGGTAAGTGGTAGGTTCAGGGGGAGATTTAATTCAAGAAGGCCCTTAAAAATGAGTAGGTAGAAGAAGTGGTGGGCATTCCTGATGAAAAACAAGGTTTGGCAAAGGTGTTTAGGTAGGAAGGTGTGGTGTGTGTCTAGAAAGCAGTCGGCAGCCCTGTTGAGCTGAGGTTAGGACTGGTAAGGCAGACCTGGAAAGGAAGTTATATTTGGCAGACCAGTGGGTTTTAAATACAGGCTAAGGAATTCGTAATTTATTTGGTAGGCAAGAAGGATTCCTGGGGATTTTCCAGCAGGGGAATGAATAAAGTAAAGTGTACTTTTGGAAAGGTTAATCTGGCAATGACAGGTAGAATGGAAGCTATCTCAGTCATGTAGGTGTGTAAAGCTATGGCATGAATGAGAAGCTAAGGATTTAAGAGTCTATGAAGAATGGATACATTTATTTTTTAACCAGAAATCCCACTTCTGGGACTTATTCCTAAATACAGTTATAACATATGGATACGATTATTCTTTGCAGCATTGTTTATGGTAGTAAAAGATTGGAAATAACCAGTATACCCATCACCAGAAGACTAATACACACAATGGGATATAAGGAGTTTTTAAAAAAGCACGAGGAAGCTCTGTATCCTACTAGGGAAAAAGCACTTGGGATTCATCTTTAGGCAAAGAGGATGCTGTTTATAATATACCCTGTTTTGTGTAAGGAGGGAGAGAGAATGTATGTTTACAGTTGCATAAAGAAACAGTGAATGATATGCACACAGAGACAAAGAAGTTACCTAGCGGTGCTTGCAGAAAGAGAGCAGGCTTGACAGTGAGACCTCTCAGCATTTATTTTGTCATGAAATTTTAGCTTTTGAACCATGGAAATGTATTACCAATTTAAAAAAATATATTAAAAAGACAGTGCAGGAAGAATCGGCAGGACATGGTGTTTGATTCAGAGCTAAGAAACAGTGAGGTGCAAAGATGGCCCTGACGTGTTAGGTCCATAAGTGCTATCTTCAGAGATAAGTAGGTCAGGGGAGGTTGTGAACTGGGAGGGGATGGCGGGTCTGGTTTGTGGTCCACTGATCTTAAATTGCAATAGAGAAATCCACTAGTATATTTTTACTTGTTGCTAGAAATTTGGGACTAGAACTTGGGAGGAGAGAAGGAGAATCATAAGTGAGAAGGAATATTTAAGACCAGAACTGAAGAGGGGAAATGGAAATATATAAGTCTGGAAGCCAAAAATGAAGTTACGGGAATTGATAAAACTTCTGAGAGGGGTAAAAGAAAAGGAAGACACTGTAAGACAGACCCTCGGAGAATGGACACATTCATGGAAGGTAATAAGGATCCTGTTAAAGAGCTAGCAAAAAATCAATTAGAGAAGGTTTCTGAAGGAGAGCTGAGTTGGGCAGTGTCCTGGGAGCCCAGAGGAGAAGGCACTAAGCAACCATGAAGGGGGCTGAGGCTGCCGAGACAGAGCCTGAGAAACTGACTGGGCGTACTTAGTAGGAGGTCTCTGGGGGCCTGGAGAACAGCTTCTGCAGGATGATTGGAGCAGAAGCCAGATCCTGGAGATGAGGGGAAGGAACAGGGGCCAGTAGACTAGGTAATGTCAGTTGCTTAGTACATATTGAACAGAAAGGGAAAACGAGTAAGCAGCGAAGGCACAGAAGTCATGTGAAGATACTTTTATAGGAGAAGGAGACCCAGGAAGGTTTTAGGCTGTGAGGAAGGAGCCAGTTAGAGTTTGGAGGTTTTAAAATATGGAGCGATTGATGGAATGGGATTCAGAAATTAATAACAGGAGGGAACATGAGGCCTTTGCAGAGCAGAGAGTAGAACAGGCTGCTGGCTGGTGAACTGGAGTAATAGACGCCAGAAGCAGAGCTCTGGCCAGCTGGTCTGGTGATCATCCTAATGAGCCTATGCTTCAGCAGCTGGGACAGGGTGGGCAGGGAACAGCGGGCTGATTTGTCACCAAGTGGCGAACTGTTTTCAGGTGTTAAGGAGGGAGAGTACAGTAACATGGGCAAGCAGTTTCCTGAGATTTTGCTTGTTATTAATAGAGCAAAAAATTAGTCAGCCTGTTATTACTGGGACACTTCCAGGTAGCTGGGGCTCTGTTTGAAGTGCTGCAAAATAGAGAAAAGGAAGCATATGTCATGAACCCTATCTTCTCTGTCTAGTTGGTAAAAAAATCTGGTACAGGAACAGCAGGGAATGGTAAAACCAGGTGGTCTGGCCTGCAGAAAGCCTAGCACCTAGCTGAAGTGCTTGCATTTGAGAGGGTGGCCTGGTGTGGGGGTGCTGTCAGCAGCTCTATGGAAGATGTCCATGTAAGGACAAATATAACCAATTGCTTCAGAGGAATGGACCCTGGGGTAGTGGTTGTCATGGTGATACAGTAGTAGTAGGAGTAATAATAACTAATATTTATTCAAACTTGTTTCATTCCTATTGCCAGGCACTGTTTAATCCTTTTGCATGAATTAATTAACCCTTGCAACAACACCTACAAGGTAGAAGGTATTGTCATTATCATCGTATGGGTGAATAAACTGGCAAAGATAGATTAAGTCATTAGTTTATTAGCTGTCTAATCGCTGTGCCACATTAACTTCTTAAATACAGATGACCAAATGTGACAGCAGTGACCTCCAAGGACCGGGTGGCACTGAGCAGATGCTCTGGCCTGAGTCAGGTAACAGATGTCAGTGGTGGGATCGCATTCCAGATTAAAGCAAAATGATAAGCTGGGTGGACAATACCTGCACCCATTTCCAGTTCATCAGTATTTCCTTGTCATTTCTGAATGTCAAGCTCCAGAAGCAAGGCTGGCTGCCCCCCTGATATTTACCTCTTTAACTGCTGCTCTGTTGGTACAGGGAGAGGGTGGTGCCCTTGGCTCAGGAGGGCAGGTAAAGGAAAATGCCTTGGTCTTGGATAGACAATGGAATTGGGGGTGGGGCGTGAAGTTCAGGAATGAGATTACAAATCTGTGAGCATCCTCCATAGAGAGATACATACATATGCATATATACAGTGTTATTTTTACATAAAGAGGCTGCTCTTGAAATTAATAAAAAGCACATTTATTTCAAAGCATTACTGATACTGGTTCATAGTAGTTTTTGTCATTATGAATTTTCTGAGGAAATGCTGTGAAAATATCACAAAGTGAGATTTTTTTTAAACAGAAAAGGAGTTCTTTCATACATGAAAAGATTGAAAAACATTTGTCTAGAGCAGTGGTTCCTAGAGAATTAGCTCCCTTATCACTAAAAAAAAGTTGAGCAAGCACTCTCCATATATGTGTACTTGTGATAAATTATGTAAATGGTATTAATATATTACATACTATTACAAATATTCATAAAAATAGAAAACAAAAAGAAACCATTTTAAAATAGCAGGTAAGTTTTGTTTTTTTTCCCCACACCTTTATGGCATCTAGCATGCACATAGGGGTACATGCACCCCACTTTGGAGACCAGTATGGATTTTGGAAAGGGTAAAGGAGTGATTTTTCTTCCTTTGGGGCTGGCAAGATCCTAGTTCGGTTTGCTTAAGCCCCACTGTTCACCAGCTCAGCCTCTTCATCAGAAGGACTACAGTGTGGGGCACGATAAAGTGGAGACAAGGAGCTATATAATTAATTTGCTGCTGAGCTTAGTGGAAAAATATTCCTCCTGTGGATTTCCCGAACAGCATGGGCACTTCTGGGGAGGGTGTGCAGACTTGCAAGACTTTAGAGCAACTTCTCATTTGTTTCCCAGTCACCAGCCCAGCAGGAGTGTTGTGCAGATTCAGTATGTGTGGTTTTCAATAGCTCATCAAGTTGCACGTTTCTCCTTCCTAAAGACCTAGGGAGGCATCTAAATTTGGTTGCTGCACTCCTTATTGATACACTCCCAAGGGCCCACCTGGTTATGGAAAACAACCTATTTGATAAAACAGCTCTTAGTTTCCTACTCTTTTGTATTGGTCTGATATCCTTGGCAGAGTTTTCTATTGCTGCCTCCTTCCTGAAGACCTACAAAGATTCTTATCTAACCGATCAAATCCAACTTCCTCATCTTGTCATCCAAGATTCCATTTTACCTATCCAGCTCAGACCTTGCATGTCTTTACATTTAAGCCTCCCCTTCAGTCAGACTGGTTCTCACTGCTTCTGACATTCTTACACGCTCCCAGCCCTGCCCCACCGTTGTGCATGTGTACGCGCACACACACACACACACACGCTTATTCTCTTCATGGCCTCAGGCTGTTTACTGCAAGTGGAAACCCCCTCCTCATTCTTCTCCATCAGCTATCATTATGTACCTACTCTTCAAAAATGTGTTCAGTAAAGGGACAGCCTCTGTAATTATTGTTGTCATTCTACATTTGGAGGATAGAGAAGCTTTGTGGGTTGAAAAGGTCAGATGGCATTTGTGGCAGAATTGGGAATAGGATGCTCAGCTTCCACTCCTGCCTCTGTCAGTGATTTCCAAAGAGAGGTTCGCATGCTAATGCCGGGATGGCTGCATAAGAAGCCTTGTGGAGGTAATTCAAAATAGAGATTCCTGGACCCCATTCCTCTAGAGATTCCAATTTAGTAGATCTGGGGTAAGGCCAGACCTATATTCTTTACAAGCTTTCCAGATAATTCTTAGGTAGTACCAGTTATTAAGGGAATCAATACTATAGACCACACAACCACCACACTGCCCACCCCTCCCCTCCCAGGAAAGTCTGACTGAAACATATCTTTTTAATGTTTTTCTTCTTGCCACCCACTCTCAAACTTCCCCAGGCCTCCCAGCTCAGGCCAAGAAACATGCTGAGTCTGCCAAGAACACACTGCTAACCTGGAAGGAAAACATGACCTCAGACAAGGAAAAAAAAAAGATCCTGGAAGCTCTGGTTATGCTCTACTACACTCTAGGGGTGGCCTGGCTCCTGCAGAACCAATATCCTTGCCTTCCCAGCAGGGCCTGCTGATCAGGACCAGGGGCCACACATGCCAGATGGGCTGTATCCCCAAGGAGGGTGGGAGATGGAACCATGGCCTTGTACCTCTATTCCAACATCCAGGCCCCCTACAAGCCTATCATCTCCATCTAGAAAGGTATGAAGTTCCTCCTGGGTCTAGTCATATAAGCTCTGAGTTGAGCCATGGGAGAGACTTCACTGGGAACACATCCTCTAGCCAATTGAAAGTTTTCAGAGTTAGTCTTGCTCTTCATTGAGCACCCAGTATGAACAATGAGGACATGGCTAATAGTGATGGTGGTAGTGTAGGAAGAGGGCAAATGGGAGAATGAAAGCACTGTTTGTCAAACTAGGCTGCCCATTGTACTCCTCTGGGGAGCTCTAAGAATTACTGCTGGGTGGGTCCCGCCACCCTGTCCCGCCCCAGCGGTTTTAATTTAGTAGGTCTAGGATGCATCTGTTCATTGAGATTTGTAAAAGCCCCCAGGTGATTGTAACATGCAGCCAGAACCTCTGATTTAATGGTCTCTTGATCATTTTAGTGTTTCTGAAATGCTGTTGAGAATACTGCCCATGAAGCTGGAGGCCAAGCAAAATAGACAAAAGAAATGGTTTTCCACATCCCCAGAGGGGAACTGTTATATATGCCTCTCCCCAAAAAGCTTGTGGTTTTGACAGCCTTTAGTACCATCTCCACTTCAAAGCTTTAAGGGTATTTCATGTTGGTGAATAAGGGTGAGGCCTCTATGAGCCCAGGGTCCCAGATCTCTATACATCCATCTTCTAGTTTTTTGGTCCTGATGCTCAACTTGCAAAATCTGACAGGTGGTTTTCCTCTGTTATGCCTTTAGCAGAGGGTATTGAAAATGTGGGAAATAGGATACTTGGGAATTGAGGGGTTTTTCCTTCCTGTTATTTGCCTCTTGCCAAAAACCTGCTTTGCTTGGACTTTCCAAATGACTCAGAAAGTCCCTTTCAGCAGGGTTTTAGTTCCTCTCCTTTACCATTCATGGGAACCAACTTGGGAAAAATGAGTAACTGTTGTCATGCAGTAGATGCCCTGAAAGGAAATCTAGTATGATTTATAGTTTCCCATTCACTCCTCCTAATGTTCACCACCCACCCTAGCCCTGGATTCAGACAACCACCACAAGAAACTTAAGGCCCTGTTCCTTTTCCAAAGAATTTTTCCTTATTGAAGCATGTATGCATGGATAATGAAGAATGCAGTGAAGTGCCCATTTTCAAATACTGTCTGGTTTTCCCAAGGGGCCCTCTTGTTTGCTTATCAATGGCTGTCTCTGGGCAGAGGGGAATTTTGTGCACCTGGCTTTTTCCTTGACTCTTTCACTGGCAGAGAGGCTTATTTCAACCTGCAAGAGCCAGAGAGAAACATGAAAGAATGGAAAGAACTGTATAAGGGAGATGTTCATAGGTTACAAGTCTCCCAGAAAGACCTAGCGATTGCTTTGGCCAGGTAAGATCTGAGCTTAGATCAGCGTGGGTTTTTATGAATGACCGGACATAATGTAACTGTTCTGTGCTCTCTTTATGTAAGGGGAGAAACATATTCAGAGCAAAAAAAAAAAAAAAACAAAACAGAGACTCAAGTGAAAATAAAAGAGTCTCCTACTTAGCAATTATGTCCACCATGGTCTAAGCTCTATGTGCAGTGCCTCATTTAAGCCCTCACAGTCACCTTTAGGTAACTGGTGCAGTGTTATCTTGTTAGAGCGAGGGCAAGGAGACTGAAGCTGAGGTTAAACTGTCCAAGGTGACAAGCTTTCTGTGTTGGATCTGTGGTATGAACTCATAGACTCTTAGTTCCTTACATACTGCCTCTCACTCATTCTAAAATGACATTTTTTTTTCTGAATTGCTACCTACTTTTATCATTAAGTATGACACCCTAAAAGATGAGGAAAGAACACTAAAGACACTTTATTGGAGGCCCATGAAAGCTGAGCATGGCATGTGCATTTTTAAGAGTTCTGTTCCATAAAGAAAAGTTCATGGAATTTGTTCAAGCCAGAACAAGACTTAACTGTCTTGCAGTTGAGTTAGGGATCCTCTGAAAATCAGAATACTTAGATATGAGAGTAGTCCATCAGATTATTAGAAGAAAAAAAAGAATAATAAGCGGTTTACTGTTCCCTAGAGTTTTCAAATATCTTCACATCCTTGAAAGCAAACTGTTTCCAAAGCTGTAAGCTTTGGCGTGGTAGGGTATTGACTGAATGGTAAGTAAATGACAAATGTGAGTCAGGCCTGCCTCCTCTAAACAACCGTGAATCTAGAAGTCAAATGGGAAATGGGGGTGGAGATGTTCAAATGTCTGGAGCTAAATCAAACTATTGACTTAAGTCTACAAGGTCATAAATTAGTCTAGTGCATGTCTCCTGCTGTCACGTGAGACAATGGCTAAGGTTCTTACGTGCCTTATGTGAAAGATGGCCTTGTTCCCTTTTCAGAATAAATTCTAGTGCACATTTCAGTCATCGATTCCACTCTACTTACTCAGTGCCTATTTTTTGTATGCACTGTTCTAAGTGTTGGCATATTTAAGTGTAACTACATCCTAGATACTGTTGAAATGCTTTACATAGTTTATTTCATTCAGTTGTCTACCACAAGCCTATGAGGTGTAGGTGTTTTTATTTTCATTTTACAGATAAGAAAATTAAAGCACAGAAAGATTAAGTAATTCAAGGGGACAGAACTAATAGGTAGAAGAGCCAGCAGTGAAACTGGGTCATCTCAATCCATAACTCAGTTTGTATACCACAGTGAGTTATGTTTGATATTGACCAAATATCTAGCAAGGGCAAATCCCTTTTCCCATTTTAAATGTGCAGAAAATAAGGCAAGATTTCTCAGGCCAGACAAGTTGGCTAATATCTTCTTACAAGCTCTCGATGAGAGGCATTATTCTGTAACTTTAGCTCTTATGGTGACGGGAAATAGTGGTCTGATAGAACCGAAACCTCTTTTGTAAAGAATTACGAGAACTTGGCAGTGTTCTTAATTGATTGTTTATCCTAATCTTTAGAGGAAGGATAAACTTTACAATTTAAAATAAATTGTAACTATTACAGAAAGCCTTATATAAAATAATTTTATATATAAATATATATATTTTAATACAATTTGGGAATACAAAGATGGGGGCAAGAGATGAGGGGGAAGTAATGTTGATTGTGCATCTATTATATGTTAGGTGATTTTACATAGAATTTTTAATCTAATCTTCACAACCTTGGAATTTAGGTATTCTTAACCTTCTTTTACTTGGAAGGAACCACAGGCTCCTGGAATTTGTTTATAAAGCTAATAACTATGGAAGCCAGCTTCGAGCTACCCATGTTCTTCTCTTTCTGTCTTGCTGTGTCTAGAAAGAAAGATAAACCTTAATGAAAGACTATTTTATTCTCATTTTAAAAAAGCATATTCCCCATTTTATTTTAGAAACTTTGAAAATACATACAGATATGAAGGAAAAAATAAAAGTCATTGTAATATCACCACCCAAACATAAATGCTGTGAACATTTTAGTTTAGTTATCTATCCACACAGACTTTAAATATGTCTATACACACACACACACAGTATATATGTATGTGTGTATTATATACATTTTATATGTGTGCGTGTGTGTCAGGATCACATTTTAAGTACAGTTTTATAACTTATGTTTGAACTTGGCACATTTTAAACTTATCCCCATAGAGGTTAGTCTACAAAGATACCATGGTTTCTGGTGTCTGAAGTATTTTTGTACGATGTCCTGTACTTTATTTAACCACTCCCTTTGGGGGCAGGTGCATATTTACATTTTCTCTATCCTCTCTCGTTTTTTTTTTTTTACTTTTTTAAATTTCAGTAACATTAATATACAATCACATGAGCAACACTGCGGCCACTAGATTCCCCCCACTATCAAGTCCCTACCACACACCCCACCACAGTCACTGTCCATCAGCACAGCAAGATGCCATAGAATCACTACTTGTCTTCTCTGTGTTGTACTGCCTTCTCTGTGCCCCACCACCACATTATGTGTGCTGATCGTAATGTCCCTTTCTCCCCTTATCCCTCCCTTCCCACACATTCTCCCCATTCCTCCTCCCCTTGGCAACTGCCAGTTCATTCTTGGGTTCTGTGAGTCCGCCACTGCCCTGTTCATTCAGTTTTTTCTTTGTTCTTATACTCCACAGATGAGTGAAATCATTTGAAACTTGTCTTTCTCTGCCTGGCTTATTTCACTGAGCATAATGCCCTCTAGCTCCATCCATGTTCTCGCAAATGGTAGGATTTGTTTTCTTCTTATGGCTGAATAATATTACATCGTGTATATGTACCACATCTTCTTTATCCATTCATCTACTGATGGACACTTAGGTTGCTTCTATATCTTGGCTATTGTAAATAGTGTGCAATAAACATAGGGCTGCATATGTCTTCTCCAAACTGGGTAGCTGCATTCTTAGGGTAAATTCCTAGGAGTGGAATTCCTGGGTCAAATGGTAGGTCTGTTTTGAGCATTTTGATGCACCTCCATACTGCTTTCCACAATGGTTGAACTAATTTACATTCCCACCAGCAGTGTAGGAGGGTTCCCCTTTCTCCACAGCCTCGCCAACATTTGTTGTTGTTTGTCTTTTGGATGGCAGCTATCCTTACTGGTGTGAGGTGATACCTCATTGTAGTTTTAATTTGCATTTCTCTGATAATTAGCGATGTGGAGCATCTTTTCATGTGTCTCTTGGCCATCTGTATTTCTTTTTTGGAGAACTGTCTGTTCAGTTCCTCTGCCCATTTTTTAATTGGGTTATTTGTTTTTTGTTTGTTGAGGCGTGTGAGCTCTTTATATATTCTGGACGTCAAGCCTTTATCGGATCTGTCATTTTCAAATATATTCTCCCATACTGTAGGGTTCCTTTTTGTTCTATTGATGGTGTCTTTCGCTGTACAGAAGCTTTTCAGCTTAATGTAGTCCCACTTGCTCATTTTTGCTGTTGTTTTCCTTGCCCGGGGAGATATGTTCAAGAAGAGGTCACTCATGTTTATGTCTAAGAGGTTTTTGCCTATGTTTTTTTCCAAGAGTTTAATGGTTTCATGACTTACATTCAGGTCTTTGATCCATTTTGAGTTTACCTTTGTATATGGGGTTAGACAATGGTCCAGTTTCATTCTCCTACATGTAGCTGTCCAGTTTTGCCAGCACCATCTGTTGAAGAGACTGTCATTTTGCCATTGTATGTCCATGGCTCCTTTATCAAATATTAATTGACCATATATGTTTGGGTTAATTTCTGGAGTCTCTAATCTGTTCCACTGGTCTGTGGCTCTGTTCTTGTGCCAGTACCAAATTGTCTTGATTACTATGGCTTTGTAGTAGAGCTTGAAGTTGGGGAGTGAGATCCCCCCTACTTTATTCTTCTTTTTCAGGATTGCTTTGGCTATTCGGGGTCTTTGGTGTTTCCATATGAATTTTTGAATTATTTGTTCCAATTCATTGAAGAATGTTGCTGGTAATTTGAGAGGGATTGCATCAAATTTGTATATTGCTTTCGGCAGGATGGCCATTTTGACGATATTAATTCTTCCTAGCCATGAGCATGGGATGAGTTTCCATTTGTTAGTGTCCCCTTTAATTTCTCTTAAGAGTGACTTGTAGTTTTCAGAGTATAAGTCTTTCACTTCCTTGGTTAGGTTTATTCCTAGGTATTTTATTCTTTTTGATGCAATTGTGAATGGAATTGTCTTCCTGATTTCTCTTTCTGCTAGTTCATTGTTAGTGTATAGGAATGCAACAGATTTTTTTGTGTATTAATTTTGTATCCTGCAACTTTGCTGAATTCAGATATTCTAATAGTTTTGGAGTGGATTCTTTAGGGTTTTCTATGTACAATATCATGTCATCTGCAAACTGACGGTTTGACTTCCTTATCAATCTGGATGCCTTTTATTTATTTGTGTTGTCAGATTGCCATGGCTAGGACCTCCAGTACTATGTTGAATACAAGTGGTGAGAGTGGGCATCCCTGCCTTGTTCCTGATCTTAGGTGAAAAGCTTTCAGCTTCTCGCTGTTAAGCATGATGTTGGCTGTGGGTTTGTTGTATATGGTCTTCATTATATTGAGGTACTTGCCCTCTATACCCATTTTGTTGAGAGTTTTTATCATGAATGGATGTTGAATTTTGTTGAATGCTTTTTCAGCATTCAATGGAGATGATCATGTGGTTTTTGTCCTTCTTTTTGTTGATGTGGTGGATGATGTTGATGGATTTTCAAATGTTGTTCATCCTTACATCCCTGGAATGAATCCCATTTGATTTTGATGTGTGATCCTCTTGAGTGTTTTTGAATTCAGTTTGCTAACATTTTATTGAATATTTTTGCATCTATGTTCATTAGGGTATTGGTCTATAGTTTTCTTTTTTGGTGGGGTCTTTTCCTTATTTTGGTATTAGAGTGATGCTGGTTTCATAGAATGAGTTTGGAAGTATTCCCTCCTCTTCTATTTTTTGTAAAACTTTAAGGAGAATGGGTATTATGTCTTCTCTAAATGTCTGATAAAATTCAGTGGTGAATCCATCTGGACCAGGGTTTTGTTCTTGGGTAGTTTTTTTATTTCTCTTTCAATTTCATTGCTGGTAATTGGTCTGTTTAGATTTTCTGTTTCTTCCTTGGTCAGTTTTGGAAGGTTGTATTTTTCTAGAAAGTTCTCCATTTCTTCTAGGTTATCCAGTTTGTTAGCATATAGATTTTCATAGTATTCCCTAATCATTCTTTATATTTATGTGGTGTCTGTTGTGATTTTTCTTTTCTCATTTTTGATTCTGTTTATGTGTGTAGATTCTCTTTTTTTCTTAATAAGTCTGGCTAGGGGTTTATCTATTTTTGTTTATTTTCTCAGAGAACCAGCTCTTGGTTTCATTAATTTTTTCTATTGTTAGGTTCTTCTCAATTTATTTTATTTCTTCTCTGATCCTTTACTATATCCCTCATTCTGATGACTTTTGGCCTCATTTGTTCTTCTTTTTCCAGTTTTAATAATTGTGAATTTAGACTGTTCATTTGGGATGGTTCTTCCTTCTTTAAATAGGCCTGGTTTGCTATATACTTTCCTCTTAGAGCTGCCTTTGCTGCATCCCACAGAAGTTGGGGCATTGTGCTGTTGTTTTCATTTGTCTCCATTATTGCTTGATCTCTGTTTTTGTTTGGTCATTGATCCATTGATTATTTAGGAGCCTGTTAAGCCTCCATGTGTTTGTGAGCCTTTTTGTTTTCTTTGTACAATTTATTTCTAGTTTTATACCTTTGTGATCTGAGAAGTTGGTTGGTACAATTTCAATGTTTTTTTAATTTACTGAGGCTCTTTTTGTGGCCTAGTATGTGCTCTATTCTGGAAGAATGTGTATCCTGTTGCTTTTGGATGTAGAGTTCTGTAGATGTCTATTAGGTCCATCTGTTCTAATGTGTTGTTCAGTTGCTCTGTTTCCTTACTTATTTGCTGTCTGGTTGATCTGTCCTTTGAAGTGAGTGGTGTGTTGAAGGCTCCTAAAATGAATACATTGCATTCTATTTCCTCCTTTAATTCTGTTAATATTTGTTTCACATCTGTAGGTGCTCCTGTGTTGGGTGCATAGATATTTATAATGGTTATATCCTGTTGTTGGACTGACCCCTTTATCATTATGTAATGTCCTTCTTTGTCTCTTATTACTTTGTTTTGAAGTCTATTTTGTCTGATACAAGTACTGGAACACCTGCTTTTTTCTCCCTATTGTTTGCATTAAATATCTTTTTCCATCCCTTCACTTTTAGTCTATGGATGTCTTTGGTTTTGAAGTAAGTCTCCTGTAATCAGCATATAGATAGGTCTTGCTTTTTTATCCATTCTATTACTCTGTGTCTTTTGATTGGTGCACTCAGTCCATTTACATTTTGGGTAATTATCGATAGATAGGTACTTATTGCCATTGCAGGTTTTGGATTCGTGGTTACCAAAGGTTCAAGGGCAGCTTCTTTACTATCTAACCATCTAACTTAACTCACTTATTATGCTATTATAAACACAGTCTGATGATTCTTTATTTCTTTCCCTTCTTTTTCTTCCTCCTCTACTCTTTATATGTTAGGTGTTTTATTCTGTACTCTTTGTGTTTCCCTTGGCTGATTTTGTGGATAGCTGATTTTATTTTGCATTTAGTTAGTATTTGGTTAGTCTACTTTCCTTGCTGTGGTTTTATTTTCTCTGGTGACAGCTATTTAGCCAGGCATACTTTCATCTAGAGCAGTCCCTTTAAGATACACTGTAGAGATGGTTTGCTGGAGAAAAACTCCCTCAACTTCTGCTTGTGTGGGAATTGTTTAATCCCTCCTTCAAATTTAAATGTTAATCTTGCTAGATACAGTATTCTTGGTTCAAGGCCCTCCCACTTCACTGCATTGAATATATCATGCCATTCCCTTCTGGCCTGCAAAGATTCTGCTGAGAAGTCCAATGACAGCCTGATGGATTTTCCTTTGTAGGTGATCTTTTTTCTCTCTCTGGCTCCTTTTAATACTCTGTCCTTATCTTTGATCTTTGCCATTTTAATTATTATATGTCTTGGTGTTGTCCGCTTTGTGTCTCTCATGTTGGGAGATCTGTGGACTTCCATGGTCTGAGAGACTATTTACTTCCCGAGATTGGGAAAGTTTTCAGCAATTATTTCTTCAAAGACACTCTCTATCCCTTTTCCTCTCTCTTATTCTTTGGTACCCCTATAATGCAAATATTGTTCCATTTGGATTGGTCACACAGTTCTCTTAATATTCTTTCCTTCCTAGAGATCCTTTTATGTCTCTCTGCTTCAGCCTCTCTGTATTTCTGTTCTCTGATTTCTATTCCATTAACAGTCTTTTCCACCTCATCCAGTCTGTTCTTTAATCCTTCCATTGTGTGTTTCATTTCTGTTATCTCCCTCCTGAATTCATCCAATAACTCTTGAATATTTCTCTGTAGCTGCATCAGCATGCTTATGACTTTTATTTTGAATTCTTTTTCAGGAAGATTAGTGATTTCAGTCTCACCAAGCCCTCTCTCTGGTGTTTGAGGGATTTTGGACTGAACAAGGTTCTTCTGCCTTTCCGAGGCAATAGAAGTGTTTGCCAGCTAGTGGCATGTTTGTCAGCTGGGAGAACAAAGTCCCTTCCTGCTTGCCGGTTGCCTTGGCTTTCTCTGCTGTCTGTGCCAGTTAACCATACACGGGGAGCAGCCTCTCAGTTAATCCTCTAAGCTGCCATGGGTGGGGAAGCCTAGGAGATAGCCTAGGGCAATGGCAGGGGTCACAGGCCAGCAGCGCTTGTTCTGCCACAAGAGCAAAGCCCCTTTGTTGCCTCCTGTTCTCCATGCCCATCTCCTCTGTTTGTGACAGTCAACTGTGTGAAGGGAGCAGCCTCTGGGTTAAGCCCCTGAGCTACCATGGGCGGGGCAGCCCTCAGGATAGCCTAGGGCACTGACAAGGGTTGCAGGCCAGTGGCACATGTTTGCCATGATAACAGAGCCTCTTCATGCTTCCCGGACTCTGCACCGGTCTCTGCTCTCTCTGCTGGTCAACCACGTGCAGGCAGCAGCCTCTAGGTCTGGGTCTGTTAGCCGCACGCAGGGAGAAACCTCCGTGTTAAGTTGCGGGTTGCTGTAGGTGGGGCTGCACCCCAGCTGTTCCACAGCAATAGCAGTCAGCCAGTTTGCTTGCAGTGCCAGTGCGGGGGAATGAACAGCAGGCTGCTTATCGCCATGAGATGGTGTGGAGCTGTGCTGCCACCCAGGGGGTTGGGGCGCCTGAAGTTTCTTAAAGTTCCCAGCCTGCTGGGCTGAGTGTGCCAGGATGATTTAAACCCTTGTCCCTTTAAGACTTTTAAAGTGCCTGCTTTTCTTTTGTCCCAGGGCAGCCGGCTGTGGGAACCTGTTCACAATCTTAATCTCAGATATTGTCTTTGTGCTGCTTTAATATCCAGTGCACCATGCAATGTGTGTCTTTGCTCCTGGGGTGGATTACTAGGGCTGGTTATTTAGCAGTCCTGCACTTCCACTCCCTCCCCACTCTGATTCTTTTCCTCCTGCCAGTGAGCTGGGGTCCGGGCAGTGCTCGGGTCCCTCTGGGTCACAGCTTTTTATCTTACCCTTTGCTGTAAGATGTTAGGTTCTTGCAGATGTAGCCTGGCTTCTGTACTGTATCTTCTTGTCACTCTTTTAGTAATAGTTGCATTTGCTGTATTTTCAAAATATATATGGTTTTGGGAGGAGATTTCCGCCACCCTACTCACGCCGCCATCTTGAGAATCTCTATCCTCTCTCATTTTTAACTGAGGAGAAATAAACTTTACTAAATCAATCAAACAAAGGAAAAACTTTGCTTTGGCCTGAAACAGGGAGCGAGAGGTAATAAAATTTTATTTTGATTTTAGAAAGTCATGTGCTTATGGGTGAATTATCCCATCCTGTGACTTGCTGGAAGCCATTTTTTCCATTTGTGTTTTTTATAAAATCAGACTATAGCATGATATATTAGTAGGTTTGATGAATGGTAATGGAATCTAATGCATAAATTGCACATTAATAGGAGTTTGTTTACAGCAAGACTGAATTTTGAGAGAACCACTTAGATGATTGGCCTATCAAGGCCCAATTGTTTAGCTCTCACAATCAGTTCCTTTTATGTCTGCAAAGTAAGTGGCCTTCCTATGGCTTTACATGTTTGCCCCTTTTATTGTAGAGCCTCCTTGGCCATCCGCAGGTTGAACCTGGTGGCTCTGGCATACTTTGAAAAGGCAATTGGTAGTGTTGTGGCCACTAAGGGTGATAGGTCATCAGATCTGGTCAGTCTGTATGAGGAAATTGCTCAAATTGAACAGCTGAGGAGGAACCATGACCAGGCCATCCAGCACTTGAAGCAGGTTAGTGGGGTGGTGGGAGCCTCAGCTGGGTGGCCAGGGAAGCTTGGGCTTCTCAGAACAAGGTGTGGTATTGATTTCCCTCACGACCACACAAGAGCCCTTTCTTAATCTTAAATGGGCAGAGAACACTGACTCCAGGTAGGTGTATCTGCTTCATGACCTGATGTGAGACAGCATGTCCCCTCCCAGACCCCCCACCATCTCTGTCAGTTTTAGGAAGAGGCAGCCGATTGAGTCTACTCCAGGGAAAAATCCCTTAGGGGCAACCACACTTAAGTCCTTAGCAAATACAAAGGGCTTTTTAAGTGATGAATCATATTTTGGTGTAATGCTGTCATTTGCCATCTAAGCTAGTTTAGCTGGTTGTTTTTCCAAGTCTAAGGTTAAACTAACAAAAGGATGTTTCACTTGGAAGTAACTAATTTAACAAATGCACAGGGAAAGCAAAACAAAACATAGGAAGGAATGTTGAGACTATGACAATGAAAACAGTGTAGGGCACTTTCATATATCATATACTTGAAACGTCCCTTGGTACTGCTAGTTAAATTCACCTTTCTTTGACGTGAAAACCCTGCTTGTGGCATCAGATCCCATAGCTGAAAGTGGATCAAAATATCGGATTTCCTATAGCATAGAAAAGATACAGTGAAGTCCAACAGTGTATGTGAAAGCAATCTGTTACTGAATAAAAGGCACTGCAAATAATCCCACAATCCAGGTTATTAACATCACACAATGGATGGAGAAATGTTAAAGAATGATGCTCTGAGGGTAGGGAATCCACTGCTTACAGAGAAAACCAGTCTGGTTTTTGTGCCCAAGACTTTCTTAAAGCAGTGGTGAGATTGGAATGTATAAAACAATGTTTCCCCAAAACAACAAAAAATAATGGTAAACATTTATGGAATGCTTTTATTATGTGCACTTGAGATGCACTAATTTATTTAATCCATACAGTAACCCTACAAAGTAGACACCATTATTATTTTTTCTCATTTTAGGGGTAAGGAAATTGAAGCACAAAAAATTATAACTAATTCAGCTGAAGTTGTGTAGCTAACAAGTGGTAGAGCAGGGATTTGAACTCAGAAAATTTGACTCCCAGAGCCTGTACTCATAACAACCTCTTCACTGTGTCTTAGCTCCAAAGTGTTGTCTGATAATCTTGGGAACTCCTTGAACATTTCACAGTATTTGGCCTGTGAAATATGAAACACAAGTGGTTCTGTTCTTGCTGGTGGGTGTAGGCCAGCTCTTTTCTCTCCTCTTTCTCCTTTCCTGTTATACAAATAATCATGATAAAATCTACACTTCTCTAGTGCTTATTACATTCCAAGTGGTATTCTAAAGAGTTTATATGTTTTAATTCATTAAATCTTAACACCAACTGTTTGTGACAAATACTATTTTTGTCATCCCTGTTTTACATTGAAGAACTTAGTGACTTGCCTTATGTCACAGTAAGTAGCTGATCTGGGATGGGAATCCAGGTAATATGGTCTAGGATCCATGCTTAACTCTACTAGCCTTCCTTTGATACTGAACCTTTGAGAGGGTGAGCTAAAGTTAGGGCTTTATTTTTGCTGTGAAACCTAATAAAAAAATCATAGCTAACATTTTTTGAGAATTTACCATGTGATGGTTACTATGTCCAGTTCTTCGCATGCATTATCTCATTTTATCCTTCCCCAGTCCTAATCAATGGGAAGTATATATTCCTTTATATGTGAAGATGAAATTACTTGCTCAAGACTCACAGCTAGGAAGATCCAAAGTGAAACCCTGTCATTTGGGTATTTACATTGTCATGATTTTCTCTGTTCCAGTTCCATTGTATCTGTGTTTCTATGTTCACTGAAGTCAGCCCCCAAACTGCAGAGGCTAGTGCGCTAGTAGCCAAGGCTTATGCCATGTCTGGAAAGACCCAACACAGGGGTAGGTAGAAGAGATGCCCTTGAAGTTATCATCATTTCCCAGTCATAGGAGGGAAGCACATTGGCAAATGGTCTATCTATCAGTATGCATAAATTATAATTAGCTGTTTTTGCCTGTGGGAAGATTAGACTGGGTGCCCATTTTGTACAAAATCATTTACCCATGAATTTAGGCACAATAATATCTCCCTAAATTAGTTGGAACATCAAAACTAATAAGACTGTCTGATTTCTATTTCTTTTATTCCCTTAGAATCACAGCAGTATTTACCTGCATAAAGAGTTGAGATCATATATGCTATGAATGTGACCTGTGGTATGCCAGTTAATGAGGAAATCCAGTTATAAAAGAAAAATCATTGGTTCCTCCCATTTTCTTCTTCCATTCTCAACTTCTTTGTCTCTTTTCCTCTGACTTACAAGAGAGAATGTGACCTATGCTTAAAAGGAATGTCCTGCAGGTTCTAGAGGAAAGCTAAATGACAAATTCATTCTTTAACAGTAGTCCTTTCTCAAGATGGTCATCGTTTTGAAAATGGGTAACACTGGGGGAGACAGAAGAAGTGGTGGGAGACGACAGTGTCCTCTGCTCAGCTGGCTTGACCAGATGAATGGACTCTAATGTATTCAGTGGCCCATCTGGAGAAATTTTAGATTTCTGAGAATGTGATATAAACATTTCAAATTGTTAATTTCCTTTGCTTATAAAAGTAATCCGTTTTGATGTATAGTATTTTCCAGTCATAAATGAGAAAGAGAGAGGAAGAGTGAGAGAAAGTGAAAGAAATTTAGGGAAAGTTTTGCATCCCACTTTTTTTTTCCATTCTTGTATTTCCCCATGTCATTAAATAAACATTTTTTTCATTGATATTTCAGTTATTCTTTTCTTTAGCGTAAATATTCATTGGTGTCTTCCTAATTCTGTGTTTTCCAGCTAATAACCTTGCTCCTTTAAAAAAATTTCCTTGTGTATACTCACAGTATTTGTACTCCATCTGTATAGTTGAGCTTTTAGAAATAGTCTTCATGGCTACAGAAAATTTACCCTATTTATGATTATGTAAAAAGTTTTTTAAGTCAGAAAATATTTATATTTATAGAATTGGGAGATTCTAAGTTCACCTTATTACTTTCTTGTGTACTAATTTTTAACTTTAAAGAAGATCTATACCTTCATCTCATGTTATTCACTAAATTCCAGATGGGTTAATATTTTTAGTATAAAAAATGGAAAGTATAAATTAGCCAGAAGAAAATACAGTACTAGAATAAAAATTACTAAAATTAAAAATTGGAGGAAAGAAGAACTCTGAGCACACAAAGATATACTAGAAAATAAGAGATTGATAGATTTAATTATAAAAAGATCTAAAACTTATGCCTGTCAAAAAATACCACAAATAAAATAAAAAGCAACTAAAGATGAACCTGCATAGATCCTTAATGATTAATAAAAAAAGAATTTGTGGTTAACCTTCAAGAAAGAAATATTTGGTTTATGTCCATATGATTTCACTGGGTAATTCTACTTAAACATTTAAAAAAGGAATAACACCCTACTTAGATAAACTTCTCCAGAAAATCAAAGAGAACACTTCCAAACTTGTTTTATGAGGCCAGCATTACCCTGATACCCAATTCAAGCAAAGACATTACAAGAAAAAAGAACAAAACAACTACAGATGAATAACCGTTAATGCACATTGATGTAAAAGATCCTCAGGAAAATATATCACAATATGTACAAAAGAATAGTACACCATGATCAAGTGAGGTTTTCTTCTTGAGAATGTCAGGCTGGTTATAATATTCAAACTTGAATCAACATACTCTACCATACTAACTATCCAAAGATGAAAAACACATAGTCTAATAAATTGATAGAGAAACCATGTGACAAAATTTATATCCACTCATGGTGGAAGGGGAACTTCCTCAATTTGATAAAAGGCAGGTACAAAAACCCTACAGCTATCATCATGCTTAATGGCAAAAGACTGAATTGGTTTCCCCTTAAGATCAGGAACAGGCAAGGATGTTCACTCTCACTACTCTTATTCAACATATTACTGGAAGCCCTAGCCAGTACAGTAGGTGTACAGTAGGCAAGAAAAAGACATACAGCCTAGAAGAAATAAAAACAGTTCCTATAGGCAGAAAACATGGCTGTTTCCATAGAAAATTCCAAGGACTCTACAAAACTCCTAGAATGGGTAAGTTTAAATTTAGCAGAGTCACATGATATAAAGTCACTACACAAAAACCAGTCATATTTCTGTATATTAGTAATGTGAAGATGAAACCAATATTCTGAAAAATGCCACTTACAACAACCCCCTCCTCCCATGTGAAACACTTAGGTGTAGATCTAACAAAATATGTATAGTGTTGAAAAACTACAAAACCCTGATCAAAGAAATCAGAGATAACCTAAATAAATAGAGACACACTGTATTCATGGATTAGAATACTCAGTATACTAAAGTCAATTCTTCCAAAATTGATCTGTGGATTTAACACAATTAACAATCAAAATCCCAGCTATACTTACAAACTAACTCTAAAATTTATATGGAAAAGCAAATGAGAATAGCTGAAACAATTTTGAAAAATAGTATAGTTGGAGGACTCATACTACTTACTTTTAAGGTTTACCATGAAGCAACAGTAGTCAAGAGAGTTTGATATTGATGACCAGATAGAGATCAGAGTCATTGGAACACAGTCTATATATAGACCCATATAAATAGTCAATTAATTTTTTATTAAGTTGCAAAAGCAATTCAATATGGAAGGAACAGTCGTTTCAACAAGTGGTATAGAAACAATTGGTATCCATATGCCAAAAAAAAAAACCACCACACTCATACTAGACACAAACATTAACTCAAAATGAATCACTGTCCACAGATGGCTTCACAGCTGAATTCTATCAAACGTTTAAAGAAGAGATAATACCCATCCTTCTTAAAATATTCCAAAAAGTAGAAGAGGACGGAATGCTTCCAAACTCATTCTATGAGGCCAGCATCATACTAATACCAAATCTAGACAAAGATACTACAAAAAAATTTTTTTTAGACTATCCCTGATGAACATAGATGCAAAAATCCTCAACAGAATATTGACACACTAAAAAATATATCAAAAGGATCATCCATCATGACCAAGTGGGTGCATTCCAGGGATGCAAGGATGGTGCAATATTCGAAAATAAATCAATGTGATACACCACATTAACAAAAAGAAGGATAAAAACCACATGATCATCTCAAAAGATACTGAAAAAACATTTAACAAATTTCAATATCTATTACTGATAAAAATTCTCAACAAAATAGGTATAGAGGGTACATACTCAACATAATAAAGGCCATATATGACAAACCCACAGCTAACATCATACTTAACCATGAAAAGCTGAAAGCTTTTCCTCTAAGATCAGGAACAAAACAAGGATGCCCACTTTCCCTTTTATTCAACATAGTTCTAGAGGTTCTAGCCAAGACAAGTAGACAACACAAAGAGATAAAAAACACCCAAATTGGTAAAGAAGAAGTTAAATTGTCACTATTTACAGATGACCTGATATTATATATGGAAAACCCTAAAGACTCCACCAAAAAACTATTAGACTGGATTCAGCAAAGTTGCAGGATACAAAATTCATACACAAAAATCTGTTGCTTTCCTCTATAGTAACAATGAACTAGCAGAAAGAGAAATCAGGAAAACAATTCCATTTACAATTGCATCAGAAAGAATAAAATAGCTAGCAATAAACATAACCAAGGAGGTGGAAGACCTGTACTCTATGTGTTATAAGACACTCATGAGAGAAATTAAAGAAGAAACAAATAAATGGAAATCTATCCAGTGCTCATGGATAGGAATAATTAATGTTGTCAAAATGGTCATCCTCCCCAAAACAATTTACAGATTCAGTGCAATCTCTGTCAAAATACCAACAGCAATTTTCAATGAACTAGAGCAAATAATATGAAAATTCATATGGAACCACAAAAGACTCCAAATAGCCAAAGCAATCCTGAGAAAGAAGAACAAAGCTTGGGGGGATTATGCTCCCTGACTTCAAACTATACTGCAAATCTACAGTAATCTAAACAGTATGGTATTGGTACAAGAACAGACCCATAGATGATTAGAAGAGAATAGAGAGTCCAGATATAAACCCACACATATATGGTCAATTAATATATAATAAATCAGCCATAAATTTACAACATGGAAAAGACATCCTCTTCAACAAATAGTGTTGAGAAAACTGGACAGCTAGATATAAGAGAATAAAACTGGATTACTGTCTAACTTCATACACAGAAATAAACTTGAAATGGATCAAAGACCTAAAAGTTAGACATAACATCATAAGACTCTTAGAAGAAAACATAGGCAAAAATTTCTTGAATGGAAGTCTGAACAATTTTTTCCTGGACACAATGGAAACAAAATAAAAACTGAACAAGTGGGACTACATCAAACTAAAAAGCTTCTGTACAGCAATGGGCAACATCAGCAGAACAAAAAGGCAAACTACAGTATAGGAGAATATATTTGTAAACCACCCATCTGATAAGAGGTTAACATGCAAAACCTATGAAAAACTCATATACCTCAACACCCAAAGACAAATAACCCTATTAAAAAATGGACGGAGGACCTGAACAGAATTTCTCTGAAGAAGAAATACAAATGGCCAACAAGCACATGAAAAGATGCTCCATATCACTAATCACCAGGGAAATGCAAATCAGAACCACAATGAGATATCACCTCAGACCAGTTAGAATGGCCACCATCCAAAAGACAAGAAATAACAAGTGTTGGCGAGTATGTGGAGAAAATGGAACCCTCTTGGGCTGTTGTGGGAATGTCAACTGGTGCAGACACTGTGGAAAGGAGAGTGGAGGTTCCTCAAAAAACTAAAAATGGAAATACCATATGACCCAGTAATTCCACTTCTAGGAATTTACCCGAAGAAAACAAAACCCCTGATTCAGAAAGATATATGCACCCCTATGTTTACTGCCACATTATTTACAACAGTGAAGATATGGAAGCAAAGTGTCCATGGATAAAGAATTGTTGGTACATAAACACAATAGAATATTATTCAGCCATTAAAAAAATACTGACATTTTTGACAACATGGATGGACTTAGACGGCATTACACTAAATGAAATAAGCCAGGTGGAGGAAAACAAATACCACATG